GGGGGGGGGGGCAGGCAGAGACAGTGAGGGAGTCCAGACAGAGGGAGGAGGTTTGCGGTGATGAGACATTCTTAGGACACCTAATGACCGCCCATGCAGATGGGCAGGTGGTTAGAATCATCAGTTATCCCTGACTGACACGCAAACCGTGGGACACACGCATGCATGCAGGGATTGATTCACGGCACGCCAGCCTATCTCCGTCCTCGCCATTCATGTCATTCGTTGGTGTCTGCCTGGGGCCTTGATGTCTGTGTGTGTCAGGTTGACGCGTCGGCGGCGGCGCCTGTCGCGGTGGCATCACCTGCTAGCCGAGATCAACGATGCTGTGCTGCCAAGTACGGCGCCGCACAAGACAAAACCCAGACAGCACTGTCTACGCCTTCCGTGGTGATGTGTTGCTTGCCCGTTTGCCAGATGTATGGCGCCTCCACCTTGGCTGGTTCTTCCTGAGAGGGCACTTCCTGCATGTCGACAAACGGTACGCACAGACAATCCGGAGGCCGACAGACTCTGTTTCCCTAGTTGTCGCTCCTCTTTCAGGTTTGTGTCCATCCGCTATCTGTTCCTCTCATCTGCCCGCCGGCCCCGCACCCCTCAAGTGCTGCTGGGTGTGATCCTTATCGCACAGGGCCTGGTGGGCCTCTACAGGGGCAGCAAGGGCGTGTGGGCGGCGGCCAGGCGGATGCACCCAGCCCTTGCCACGCGCATCGAGGCCTTGTGTGAGTGGAGGGGGGGAAATGGCGACAAGAGAGAGGGCGAGAGAGGTGCAGCCGCAGCTGCAGCTGCAGCTGCAGCAGAGGCGGCAAAAGGTGCGTCTTCATGATTTATGGTGCCTGATCCGATCGACCGATTAGTGTGTGTTTGTGTAGATGACGATGGCCGTGAGGAGGGCGGCACGGCTCCCCTTTTGAGGATGAAGCTGGGCCCGTCTGACGTGCCCGACATCGTGCCGGCGACGTGTCTGTTTTGCCTGGGTGTGTGTCGCGACCCGACGGCCACTGCGTGCGGACACGTCTTCTGCTGGGACTGCATCGCCAGCTGGTGACCGGGGGAGGCATGGGTAGAGGTGGGCGTCATGGGTTGTAGCTGTGTTTGTTTGTGCCTGTTCGTGAATGCAGGGCCTCTTCAAACCCGAGCTGCCCCGTGTGCAGGTTAGACAGACAATTACGTCCGCCGGGCAGGTATTGACACGACGTATGTGTGCTGTTGTCCTTTTGTTGTATGTCAGGTCGTCTTGTCAGTGTCAGCAGCTGCTGTCCTTGTACCACTACGCCCCGTCCAAGTCACTGCTGCGCAACGAAAGCCGACACAGCCAGTGATGTACGTACGCTATGTACATGTAGCATGTGTGTTGTGATGACAAAGCGTTAACACCCATCGGCTTCATGTGCGGCTCGGCTGCTGTGCTATCAGCGACTGCTGGCTAGTTGCTGATGCCACAGTGGGGAAGGTGCACTGAAGTCCATGAGCTGTAGAGGAGCGGGCGGGGAAGGTGTGTCCGCTTTCACTCCCGGTGTGTACATAGAAAAGACGTCAGTCACTCTGACTGTGATTGACTGCACGTGGATGGAGTGACAGAATCTTTGACTGACGAATGAATGAATGAATGAACGAGTGATATTGTCTCTCAGTCAGTCCACAGCCCACCCATCGGTCACCACCAGGTACGTACACACGCCTTAAACCCCACATGGAATGAATGAATGCAGACACAAACACATACGAACGAACAGACCGAAACACACACAACCAAGCAGCTACCCACCCACCCACCCACAGCCAAGCAATCGCGATCCAACGCATCCCGTACCGTCTGAGCCATGCTCCCTCATTCTTTGACTCACTCACTCATCCAGCAGTCACGCGTGGCAAGCAAGCAAACCCTCTCCCCCTCTCCCTCGGTGCCCTTATTCACTCGTCCGCCCCGTTGAGCATCTTCTCGTCTCCCTCATCATGCGCAGCAGCAGCACCAGCAGCAGCTGCTGCTGCGGCCGGTGCCGACTTCGTCTTCTTCCGTGGTGGGGAGTCCGCTCGTGCCGGCCCATTGAGCCCGGCTGGCACGTTGCTGTCCTCGTCCGCCCGCTGGCGCTTCTTGTGTGGCTTGCTGGGTGGCGAGCGTGTCTCGTTGGCGGTCTGCTGCTCGAGGAGGTTGAGAATCTCCTGCGCATTATCGTCAGCCCCCTCCCCCTCATTCTTGTCGGCTTTGTGCTTCTTGTCGGCTTTGTGCTTCTTGGGGGCGGCTCTCTCTCTGCCGTCCTCGTCGTCGTCTGCGTCTGCCTCGCCCTCAGCCTCAGCGTCGTCACGCTTCCGCTTGCCGGGACTGCTGGCTGACTCTGCCGCGGTCTCCCAATCCATCTTCTCCTGCATCCTCGCACAAAAGGCCTCCAGGTCGGCCATGTCGACCTCCGGCCGCTGCCTGCCCTCCTCAGGTGTCTTCTCCGGATGCTCGCCCGCACCCTTGCTCTTCTTCTTGAATTCAAGGTCACGCGAGTCGAGGCCCCTCAGGTCCGCCCGCATCTCGAAAGCCTCAGTGAAGACGGTCTCCAGTTCTTCTAAGCTCCGCTCCAGCACGCAGTACGAGAAGATCCTGTTGAAGCCCTTGCTTCCCCTGTGGCGGCCCTTCTTTGCCCACACCTTGACGGCCTCCTGGTCCCGGTCCCACGAGATCGCCACCTCCTCGTCTGGCTGTGGCTTGGCTTGAGGGCTCTTGGGCGATGCGGGCGGGGAGGCCTCATGCCGACGCACGAGCGTCAAAATGGCCTTGAGCACGCCGTGGCCACGCTGCTGCAGGACGGCACCACTCATCGTCTCCACACGGTCGGCAGACTGGTCAGCAGCAGCGGCAGCAGCAGCGGCTGCCGACGTCTGTGCCTGCACAGAGAGACGAGGAATACGGCATGAGGGTACAGCACGCATCGTGTCGACGTCCATGCACCAATGACTGACCTGCATCGGGGATTTGTCCATTTCCCCGTCCAGCAGCCCGACGGCCTTGTCCCGACACTTGAGCGCCAGAGCTGCGGCTGCCTGGTAACCATTGGCACTGCGCGCGTGGGGCGGGAATGCGTCCACGAAACGCGCCCCGTTTTCCCGACTCCACACCCACACCTCATACCGACCGAGAGCGTCAATCCACGTGATGCCGCCTTCATTGCCGAGGGCGGAGGGCAGGCTCGCCTCACGGAGGGCCTTGGAGGCCTGCGGATTGGTCTTGTTGGCATGAGGGGCTGATGCCGGTGCTGCTGACGTGTCGCCGGCCTCTTCCTTCGGCTCCTTCTTAACGGCCTTCTGCGGCCAGCGGTGGTCCGTCTCGCCGCCAAGCAGCAGGGCACGCACCTCAAGCGCGTGGTCGAGGGCCGCCAGAAGGGACGAGTGGGTGAAATCCCGAACGGGGAAGAAGAAGTGGCGCTCGTCGCGTAACGGGCCCGCCTTTCCGGCAGCAGAAGGGTCAGCAGGTGAGCCCTGTGACTGTGAGCTGTTGACCATCTCGTCTCCCTCGTCCATCTTCTCATCTTCCAGCAGATGCAGCTTCGGCTTCTTGGGCAGAGGGCCCTGCCAGACGACGATGAATCCGGCGCCACGGGAGCTCCACCGCACCTGCACATGATCGCCGCCCCTGCGGCCATCCTTGCCGGTGCCCAGGATCGCCTTGATCATGTTGGTGGCCCGCTCGGTCGCGTGCGCCTTATCCCCAAGCTCATCGGGCAGGATCATAGGAATGAGGTCTTCATCTCCTTCTCCTTGCTGCTGGTGCTCCTCACCGCTGTCTCCCTCTTCCTTGTCTGTCGTCTGCAGCAGGTTGCGGAGGTGGTCGCGTCGCTCCACTGCCGCATCGGGTGCCTTGTCGGGGTCGCCCGCCTCGCCGGCCTGTGCTGCCGGGAACATGCCGCCGAGTGCCGCCTGGCCCTGCTGGTCGAGCAACCACACCTCCCAGCGCTGCTCCCGCGGCATCCACACGATCTGCTGGTATTGAGAAGAGGGCTCCGGCTTCTTCTTGGGAACGACCGCGACCACAGCCGCAGCAGCAGCAGCAGGCTCCGCTTGGGGTTTCTTCTTGGCCTTCTCTTTCTTGCCTTCCTCCTCCTCCTCCGCCTCCTTGTCTCCCTGCTGGTCCTTCTTTTCTGGCGCGGCCGCTTTGCCCTCGGCCCAGGTCGCATGCAGCTCGCCATAGAAAGCCACGGCCTCGTCGAAGGCCTCCAGCAGACCAGAGACGCCCTCGTTGGCTGGGGAAAACATTCTGCTCTTGGTCTGCTTTTTTACTGCGCCTGGTGTGCTCTCTTCAGGGGGCTGCTGCTCAGACTGCACCTTGGCCATCCGCAGGACCATGAAGCCCCTCTTTCCCCTCTTGGGCTTGTCCCACCGGATTGTCAGTGTCCCATGCATGTTCTCGTCACGCGGAAAGGCTGTCAAGAGCTGGCTCTTGGTGGCGGTGCAGAGGCCCTCCGCAAGCTCATCGATATCCCCATTCGTCTCACTCGCCTCACCGGCCGTGTCATGCATTGTCTCGCCCCGCAGCGGCTCACCGATGCCGTAGAAGGCAGCATCGCGACATACGACGGCGTCGCTCGCGGCGATGCCGATGGCCTGGTCGGTCTTGTCTGCAGCTGGGAAGATGCCTTCGCAGACGAGCTGCTTGGTGTCGGGGCTGAGGCGCCACACCTCAAAACGATGGAGACCGTCGAGCCACATGATGCCTTGCGCGTCCTTGGTCAGGCCCCCAAGGCAGTCAGCCGCACAAGCGGCCGAGCGGGAGAGGGGGGCCTTGGGATGGCGGCCACGTTTGGTCTTGGTGGGCTCAACAGCTGCCGCTGCTGCCGCTGCTGCTGCTGCCTCATCCTGTTCCTTCTCCTCGACTTGTTTTGGCTCCTCGACGACCGCCGGCTTGGCAGCAGCAGCGGCAGCAGCAGAAGCAGGAGGAAGAGGAGGAGGAGGAGGAGGGGGGGCAGACGACATCCTGTCTGCGGCCTTCTTGCTGGCCTTGTCGACCACGCTCCGGACGGCGCTTTCAGAGAGCTCCTCACCCTCGTCGATTCTCTCCTGCAGGCTGACGACCTTGTCACGGACCTTGGCAGCCTGCTCCAGCGCCCTGTCGATGCCGATCTTGGTCAGAACAGTCAGCTTCAGGGGCTGCGGGGTGACCACATCGCGGTCATTGGACAGCCGCACGCCATCGAGCTCGAAGCCAGGGAGCCCTGGCTTCCAGTTGATGCCATCCCGACCATTATCGGCTGTCAGCTCGTAGTTCTGCAGCCGCTCCTCAACATATGCGCTCAGGTCGGCAGGGCCGAGCTCGTCCATCGAGGATTGGGGGGCTCTGTTGTCCTTGCTGAGCAGGGCGGAGGCAGTGATGATGGGTGGTGCCCGGCTTTCACTCGAGTGTCGGCTCGAAGAGGCTGAGAACCGTTGCTGCGTCCACACGATTCGAGCGATGCCTTAGTGGCCTGTCTGAACACACACGGGGTACAGGGAGGCGATGAGTGAGGCGAGGGTCCTTCTCGTTTCCTGCGGTACCTTTTTCTTGTCGGTTGTGCCTTTTGCTGCTGAGCTGCTCATTCAACAGTAGCTCTCTCTCACAGACTCCGCAAGCATCATTTGAACGGAGCTCTTGAGAGAGCGGTTTCACGATTTCCCTAAGTGCGAGCTTAGTCTGCAGATCTTCCCGCGCTCGGTTCGTCATTTGGTGGTGCAGCAGCGTGGGGCCGGCATGCCCGATTGCAGCTGTGAAGGGATGAAGAGTGTCTGCTGTGAGAGGCCAGTGCATCTGGTGGACGAGTGGGAGAGTGCCTTTGGCGACGCCACGGATGTGCTGAATTTGACGTCGGAGCTCAGCCACGAGGGCGAGGACGATGCGCACGACTGGCCCGGCAAGGTCGACGTTGTCATCGAGAGCCATCCCGTTCCGCAGGTACATAAGTACACTAAAAACTACGAGCGATAGACAGAGCCACCCACGATGCAATTAACACAATGCTTACCGTGTGTCTGCCTGTTTTTGTGTCCGCTGCAGCCGGCTTCTCCCTCTAACAGCAGCAGCATCGACCTGGGCAAGACGCAGAGCGAGGGTGACTCGCCGCTCCATCTCCGCTCGCTCATGAAGCCCGTCCCCATGCCGTCGTCCGTCAGCAACGGCTCCAAGTCGACCGCTCCTCCGTCGTCGTTTTTGCCGCTGACTCCCCGGCATGTCGACAAGAAGACCAGAAGCGTCAAGAATCCCCGTCTTGCCGCCCTGAGCTGGGAGAGGATGAATACCGAGGCGGAGCCGATTCAGATTCCCTCCATCACGGGGCTTTGATGACCAGGTCAGGTAGGGGTGCGTGGAAGGGGAAAGTGCACGGGACGACTGTGTATGTGTAAAAGGGGGTGTGATTGTCTGTGTGGTTGCAGGGCCCTGCAGGGGCTCATGTGATGGTCGAAGTGAGCTCATTGGGCACGTTTGCGTACTGTGGGGAGAGAGCCCACCCAGCTATTTTGGTATCACGAGTCGGTGATGAAGGGCGGTGTGGCTAAAGTGTCACTCACCTGCAGGATCAGATAGATGGGCGGAAATACACACGGTTGGTCAAGTCCGCCCAAGACGTACATCTGTCTCCTCTCTACCCTACCTGACTCTACTTTATTGTCTGTCTGTCTGTCTGTCCGTCTTTCTGCATGTCTTTCGTACCCATGTATCCCTTCCTCCCTCTCTCGCCCTCGCCTGCCTGCATGCCTGCCTGCTTAAGCAGTCTGTCTGTTCTGTTTGTCTGTCTATCTGCTATCCAGCCATCAGCCAGGCCAGCCAGCCCCTCGGTATTTTTACGCAGTGGCTGAATGTACCGTCAGGCCTTCCATGACGACACTGAGCGAGTGGAGGAGCGACTCGTTACGTAGTGTTTTGGCGGTGGTTGGGTCTCTTGCCGGGGCTGGGTGGGTGTGGGGGGGTGGTCTGCGTGGTGCTCCTAGTCTGTGTAAGGTTGGTTGACTGACTGCAGGGCCCTCTCGGTCTTCTGTTGTTGCAAGCTGTAGGGTAGGGTGCTCTCTCTTTCTTTATCGGATCGGTCTACGTGTCGTACGTGTGTGTCTATCTTCTCGCCAGACAACACAGACAGGCAAGGCAGCGCTTTGGTCCCAATCTTTGGCTGCATGCTTTCGATCTTTGGCTGGATACTTACTTTGGTTGATTCATACGTCTGTCTACACGTCTGTGTGTCTATGTGTCTTACTACACGCTTCCAAGCCGGCCCAGCTGTGCACACAACATTACATACATTGCCGATGTATGTTTTGTACGACTCTCCTCTCCCCGGCCAGCCCCGCCAGCCCACATCACATCTGTCTGTGCGGTCACGCCGTATTTCTTCACCCTTCCTTGTGTGCATCCGTATGTCTATGTTGGTGCCAGTAACTCTGTGAACGCGTGTATGTGTGCGTACGACGGACTTGATTGGTCGAAGGCGAGACACACGCCAGCAGAGAGCGGCGGCCAAGCAACGCTGCACTGCACCCGGGGTGTTCTGTCTGCCTGTCTGTGGGCGTTGTGTTGTGTGTCCCTCCCTGTCTGTCTCTCTGTCGAAGATGTGTGTTGGTGCTGCGTGGGGTGCACGTGAAGTGCTGTGAGCTGATGGGTGTGCTGGTGGTGGCTATGTGATGTTTTATGGGTGATTTGAATTAGTCGTTAAGTGCGGCGGCGACACCCGTGACGCTGACTGATCGTTCGTGCATCGGTGTGTTGTGTGTTGCGTATGGTGTGTGGTGTGTTGTGTGTGTGATGCCTCTCTAGTGTGTGTTGTGGGGTCTTTGTTGGACGGACAGACCGACAGGTAGGTAGGCTGCTAGCTAGCTAGGTAGGTGGACATGTGTGTGCGAATCGTGGCCAGCCAGATGAACCAATGGATGAACGAAACGCTCGAATGACCGATCAGCATTGGAGAAAGCAGGCAGCGATCCAGTCAGTCAGTCAGTCCTTATAGGTACACACCACCATACCTCCACTGCACAAGTGGGAGGAGAATCCCCATCTTCGCCCAGCCAGAAACACCGAGCCCCTGCACGTACGTACGTACGCTGTCAGCTCGAGTACTCATCAGCAGCATCCATGGCATGCCATTCCTGACTCATAGACGTCCACAATTCTGTACGAGCCAAGCCCATCTCACGGTTGGTCATCCAATACACAAAGATCTGCATGCATTAATTGCATGGTGGGCTGGTCTGTGTGCATGACAGGGTGGCTCACTCAAAGGGTGGGTGGGACGGCAATGGCGATAACCCAATCCACTGCTGACTGGGTGTATGTGTGTATCAATCATACTATCCTCTGCCCTCTCCCCTCCCCTCTCTGTCTGTCTGTGTGTCTGTGTGTGTGTATGTTGTGTGTGCCGTGGCTGGAATGATTGGATGGTGTGACTGCCACTCATCTCGTACGGACGGCCAATCGAGAATTGGGAAAACAGTGAATACACGCCATGCATCCTTGCACAAGTAGCCACACACCTGCACTCACCCATCTGTCGATTCAAGTCAGCCACCCGCCCCCCAATGCCGGCCGATTCACAACGCCCCTCACGACATCACCGCCCTCCCAGGCGGTCGACAGACAGCTCGCGAGGCCTCTCGGGGACGGCGAGGTGTCTGATGCGGACACGCACCAAGGAGGAAAGAGAAAAGGCAATAGACGTGGACAGACATTGCATGGCTTCCCCTCCCCTCATGTGTGTCGCGTGTGTGCACCTGAGTCAGATGTCCAATGGCCGGCAGCAGCTCCAAGGAGGGGCGGTCCATCTTGTTGCGGGCGATGGCCACTGCCCGGGGGAAGGCAGCACGACCAGTGACGCCCTGCCGGGGCGCCTCGGTGGTGTAGAGCTTGATGGATGCCCGCACACCAGGGTACCTGGCCATCCAGATGTATGCCGCAAAGTCATCGCCCTCCTCGTCGCCACAGAGTATGACGAGTCGGTAGGAGGCGCGGCCGGCGATGTAGTAGCGGCCGGCGATGTAGTAGTTGATGGTGCGACAGTCCCACAGGAGCGACGAACGACGCTGCTGGTCGATCAGGGCACTGATGCGATCCCCCTTAGCGGCCGATACGCGCCAGAGTGGCCACAGATGATTCTCGGCCTCCGACACCACATGCGACGACAGCAATGCCAACCTGAAAGAGCAGGGAGCGGAAAGGCAGACAACACGACACATTTCTGTGTTGTGTTCTCTCATTTCAGTCGCTGCATACCTCTCAATGGCCAACTCACGGAAGCTGCCGAACTTGTCACGATGGTCTGCAGACACACACACACAGCGGCAGACACCGTCAATGTCAAGTTGCCTCTCCTGTGGTGCTGTGCCCTCCCCTCTCTTACGTCCGCACGCGGGATCCGCGGCATCGAATCGATCATCGAATCGAACCGGCACCGTCTGCACTCTCACCTCACGCCCGCCCAGCACCTCCCGCCCGTGGGCATTGCGCGTCAGATCCATGAAGGTGCCCAGTCGGTGGCTGAAGAGGCTGTACTGGCGGATGCTGGGCGGCCGGCTGTCGATGACGGCCTTGCTGGGCACGTGGTGCAGGTCGTCGCCCGTCAGCTCGATGGGCAGACGCTGCACTCGTCCACAGCTCTTGGCCATCCGCAGCAGCGGCACGGTGCCGCGCCAGTCGCCCCCCGTCACCATCAGGTAGTGCAGCCGGATCAGTCGGAATGGCCGACGCACGTCCATCGCCCGACCCGGCTGCCGCTGCAGGTGCCGACGGAGGAGGTAGCCGATGCCGATGGCTCCCGTGAGGCTGCACTTCTCGATGATGCTGTCGATGGCCGACACCGCAGCGGAGCCGATGGCGGCGCCGACCGAAGTTGAGGTGCAGCAGAGGGTGCTCTTGAGCTTGAGTGCGAGGGCGTCCGCGCCACACAGGGGGAGAAGTGTGGTGGTGATGACGTCGGTGGGGAGGGGGGGCATGAAGGATGGCGGCAGGAACAGGAAGGACAGCGGGTCCTTGGCATCGCGCGGCTTGATGCTCGGGTCCACACAGAAACGCTCCGCATCAACCTGCACACCCGGATGTGGAAAAAAGCTATGCCATCCCTCCCTCTGCATGATAGGCCTGCCTACCTCATCCACGCTTTGCAGAGGGATGTATGCGTCGGGGGAACGTGGCCGAAGTAATGGAACCCATCGCATCCCTGATGGATGACACACAGTCACACACATACAAGGAGGGATGTGTGTACACCGTGATGCCGCACCACTCTCTCTCCCTGCCTGTGTGTGTGCCATGCCAACCGCGTCTATAGTATCGAGTCGTTGGAATGGCGCTGTCGTGTGTGGCACCACGACCGGCTCAAACTCCTCATCCATCCCACCCACCTCCCGCATGCACACCCGCGTCCCGCCCTCGGCCGGCTCCATTTTGTACACCTCGGCCTCCACCCACTGGAACCTGTCGTCCCTTCTCTGGTCCGACACCATCAGCACGCGGCTGCCCACACGATACCGACACGACGTTGCACCGACAGACGCCTGCGGGACACACCGGCCGTGCACCTCTGCGCTGTGCGGTCGTGTGCTGTTCTGCTCTCACCTCTGGATGAGTAATTTGCCCGGAAGAGCTCGGCGATGCCATCGTGACGATACAACGAGATCTACACTCACTCGAACACTCCAAGCTTACCACGACTCAGCTGCCGCAAAATTTGCGAGCTTGGAGCGAGAGGCTGGGTGGGAAGAGAAAGAACGGCTTTGAAAAAAGAGCCTTCAGAAAGGACAGGCTGTCCTCTGCGTCAGGTCATGATGACAGATTTCGACAATGACGGCCTTGGAGAGCTGCTGAGTCTGCTCCAGGCGCAGGGAGAGCTCAATGGCACTGCCGAGGACAGGGGCGAACGCAATCACAGGGCCGGAGCCGAGGCTGAGCATCAACTGTCGCCGGGTACGTAGGGATATTCGTTCAGATGAGCAATGCATGCGAATACCAGCGTGTGTGGTCGGCTCGTGTTATCTTCCTTCAGAACCATCCGCAGCCGCAGCAACTGCTGCTGCGCCAGCGGTGGCAGCGTCATCCTCTTCCTCATCCATCCCCCCTGTCCATCTTTCGTCCCTCACCCCTCCCCGCCCGCCCCCGACCCGCAGCAGGCCCGACAGGGCGCTGTCCTTCACCAGAGTCCCCTATCTGGCCGACAGGACAGAGCCCGGGAGACTCGCCACCTTCTCGGACCGGCACTTCACACCAATGTCCCCTCAGATGGACGTCCAGCTGCCGATGGATGGCCTCGGGCAGCGGGGCACACGGTCGATGAGGACGAGCCCTCCGGTGGGCAGCAATCGGCGAGGCTCAGCTCCTTCAGAGGTGCGGCTACGGCCACATAGGGCTGAGAGCGTGCGTGAGCGAGGTCCGCCGCAGCCTATGCTGGCGCATTCTATCGGGGATGGGGGAGGAGTGCCGCTGAGTGAGAGTGTGGGGGGGCTGCCGGTGCTGGATGAGGACGTCGGGATGCCCCCAAGTCGACCAGCGAGGTCGTCCAAGCGGTCCAGGGGGCGGAGCACTGCCGCTGCCGGCACTGGCGCCACCCAGCGGAAGAGAGGTGGGCCTGCAGGGGCGGGGGTGGACATGCCTCCTCCTCTTGATGTGATGGCTGAGGCTGAAATGGCGGGTGACTACCCTCACCTGGAAGAAGCCGAAGAGGAGGAGCAGGGGATGGAGCAGGAGGCCGAGCAGATGGAGATTCCCCCTGAATTCACGTGGCCACCGCTACCACCACCACCACCACTGGTCCCACCACCACAACCCTCTGCCAAAAAGGCCGGCAAGAAGAAGAGGCGGCAGCGGCGGCGGGACGAGGACGATGAGGAGTACGACCCGGCGGCAGTCGACTACCCTGGCGGAGCTGCTGCTGCTGCTGCAGGGGGGGGTGAGGATGGCGGCATGTCCTCCCCCACTGGGACTCACAAGAAGCAGCGCAAGAGGCATCTCACGGGATTCATCGTCTTCTGTGCGGTGAGAACACATTCACAAAGACATGCCGCGGGATCTCAGATGTATTTTGTGTGTGTGTGTGTGTGTGTGTGTGGATGTCTTAGGAGCGTCGAAAGGCCAATCGGAGCGGTTTCGAGGGCATGACGCAGAAGCAGGTGATGCAGTCGCTGTCGGGCCAGTGGAAGGCCTTCACCGACCAACAGCGGCAGGCGTACAAGGACAAGGCGGAGGAAATCAAGCAAACAAAGGGCCTCGACGATGCGCCCCAGACCAAGAGAAAGAAACCCCGCGTCAAAAGGGAACCAGTCGGTAAGAAGGCACCACGGAGAGACAATGAGTGAGATCAAGACACACACACGGATGAATGCTCTCTCCCTTGGCTGTTGCTGTGCGTCCATCCATCCATCAGACCCTGACAGCATCTGGGGCATCGTGCGGGCCAACCGCAGCCCCCCTCGTCAGCACCGCAAGCCGCCACCTGACATGTCCGCTGCAGACACCATGCTGCTCGATGAGGGGATGTCCGGCGGACAAGACGACGACAATGGCATGAAGTCACTCCTGGGGCTGCTCGGTACCTACCAACCCACCGAAACACCTAGCACCCCACCCACATCTCAGCTCTCTGTGTGTGTGCCGGTGTGTTGGCATTCAGACGGCGGCACGAGCACGGCTCTGGCCAGGCCGTCCTCGGCGGCCGCCGCCGCCCCTCGCTTCCACGCGGCCCCCCAGGTGCGCATCGGTGAGGACGGCGAGTTGGTGATAGACGAGGAGACGCGGGAGATCGGTGCGGGTCGGCATATGGGTGTTGAGGAGGAGTGTGTGCTGTATGAGGGCGGGGTGGCGTATGAGGTGCAGCAGGGGTCGGTGCAACCCTTCGACAAGGCCTACAAGAACACAAAGGCACACAGATGGACACAAGAGGCTACCGACAGGTCAGGTACTTACCATGGGCAGGGCAGGCGAAGCAGACAGACAGGCAGTGCCGTGCCGTGTGCCTGTGACCGGCCCATCCATTCCATGCATGGGATGCGCCCATCCATCCTTCAGGTTTTATGAGGCGCTGCGCACGTTTGGGTCGGATCTGATGTTGGTCAAGTCGATGTTCCCCGAGGTGTCTGAGAAGCAGATCAAAGACAAATTCAAAGTCGAGGAGAGAAGGGCACCCGACAAGGTACGGGACGGCACGGCCCAATGACGCGCATGCAGGCCGCCCATCGACCCCCGCCTGTCTGTGTATGCCCGCCTGTCTGTGTCAGATTGAGGAGGCACTCAAGCGTGACAGGGGGGAGCTCACCCGGGCACCATACGAAGAGGTATGTACGTGACACACACAACACCGGGGCAGCCGCCCGCCCCACTCGCTGCGTCACTCACGTCACGTCTGTGTGCCCCGCACTGCCGTGCAGATGCATGGTGCCATCGTCCCTCTTGACGAGCAAAAGCGGCAGAAAGACCGCCACGCGAGAAGCCTGGAATTCCTACTCGGTGAGCTGAGCCCGCCAGCACACAGCCGACTTAGGATCAATAAGACAGACATGCGTGTCATGTGAGGGGCTTCCGTGTCTGTCTGTTGTGTTTATCAGATGGGGAGGAAGAGGCCGATGAGCGTCCCCATGAGCAGGGCCTGCGGGCCGAGAAGACAGAGGAGCAGGAGCCGCCGCATGAACAGGACGAGCACGCCGGCCTCCTGCAAAGCCTGCTGGATGGATAAGGGTCTTGTCAAGTCAAGCCACGCTGCCACACAGTCGCAGCGGTGAGGCGCGTTCTTGATTTGACGAGATGCTTTGACGAGTTGGCTCTCCCGGCGATGACCACGGGCTCGCGTTGGGAGCACAGTCGTGCTGGCGGGTGCAGCGCAGCGGCAAGAATGAGTGGATCAGATCAGAATATGTAGATGATGATGAGTGCGTGCATATCTGCAGTGGAGGCAGCCCCATTGTGTGCAGTTTGCGAGTGTGTGACGTCGGTGGTTGCTTCGGTCATCAATATGAATGAAACCTTGGGCTCAATGCACTCAATCACGCCTTCCTTTCTCCCTTTTCGCACTCTTTCGTCAGTCTTCTTCCCGCTTCGCTCGCAAAGGGCCACCGGGGCAGTTCCTGGGTGGCTCTTAGTGGGATGGTCTGTGTGCAAGTTGGCTGCATGTGGTGCGTCCGGCCGAATGGGATGGACTCATCAGCGGACGCGTGTGTGCAGACCGACAGGTGCATACGAGTGAAATTCATCCGCGACAGAGATGGAAAGCACAGGCATGCACGAGCCGTTCACAGCTGAATCCGCATGTACTACAGTCAGCAAAATACGCACACGAATCTGCCAGCACGCCACCTACAAGGCCCACGACGTGTCTGCACCAAATCCACTAACACAGACGAACATAAGGACACACGCGCATCATCATGCCATCGTGTGGCTCTCACCTTCATGATCATGGCGCCTCGACACCGAACACGAAGAAATCGATCGATCCGGGGAGGCGGCGCACCTTGGCGGCCGTCCGAGTGAATCGCTGGGCGAAGGGCGCATCCTGAGGGACACCTGCTGCTGACGCCTCGGTGGTACAAATGGTGACGCGCACTGCATGCAGACAAGAGAGGAGCGGATGATCACACGACACGACAGCATGAGGATGTGCTGTCAGTGTGAATGCGTACCGTCCTGGTTGCCTTGGGGGATGACGAAGGAAATCCATGCGATGAATGGGTCGTTGGATGAAGTCAGCACATGCTCCTGTACACACTCCCCATCGGCCCACTCCAATGTCAGCTTATCCGAGCATCCATTGAGTGGCGCGTGCGGTGATCGAGCAAGTATGCCGCCGACGCCATGCACACCTCTGGCATACACAGACGTTCATATTGGCACAGAGCGTACGACATCTGCCGTCCATCGACTCACCCACGCACCACCACTGCTGGCGACTGGGTGAACCCGCCCACAGCCCGCCACCGATGAACCACCATCAGCTCCTTCAACATGGAGCTCACCGATACGTCAACGGGCCCGTGTGTGATGAGAACCGTCTCCCACCCCAATGACCATGGGTGCCACGTAATGCGGTGGCGGACTGGCGGGTCGTGCGGCTTGGCGTGGTGGGTGAAGGGGTGGTGCTGTGAGAAGGGATGGAAGGGGCGGTCAGAATGGGGGAGGGGCGGGTTGAGTTGGATGAAGAAGTTGGGATGGTTCTCCCGGATGATCCGGAGCTCGTTGTTGTGGCGGAACAGCTGGAGTGTGCCGTCTTGCCGGCCGTTGGGGCGCCGGAAGGCCACGTAGCCACCGACGAGCATTCACTGCGCACAGACTCTGGGCAGTGCCAAGAAGTCCTACAGCCAACACGCACATCCAGCGGCTCATCACCCATTGCTCGATTGTTTCCTTTTCTGTCTGTCGTGTTTACCGCCTTGGTGGCGTGTGTCTGCAGATCTACAGCACCCACAGTGACCGGCAGCTGGCAATAGCCGAAATGCTCGGCGAGAGTGAGTGTGCCGCCCACCTCCCCCCAGCCGCCCTCGCCCCCCTCCTCCACCACCCACATGGCCTTCATCACATCCCCGTGGCTCAGCTGAGGGTCGAACTGCACCACACCGCCCACCCCCGCCCGCTCGATCGCCTTCCGCAGCCGATAGCGGCGGATGATCGGCCGGAGGGCATTTCTGATGGGTCGGGCTGTCGACTTGAGGTGGGCGACGGTGGTGAGGTCAGACTGCGCGATGAGGACCCTCATGGGCGCGGCAGGGATGTCAGTCAGGTCCAACGATGTGGCCTGACGACACACAGACAGAAGGACATACACACAACACGCACATAAGAGGTGCACAGCACATCAGTGTGGGTCTTGTGTTTGTGCCTGCCTGTGGTCACTCCCCCACTCACCTGTGCGCGGCGATGCCTTGTGAGTGCGATGGTCGAGTTGATGGTCTCTGCCAGTTCGGCCAGCAGGTCGGACACAGCAGCAAATTGACGACTCACCTTATCCACCATCTGACGAATGAATCAACACGACGAGAGCAACGCCAAGCAAAGTAGACTCGACAGACACACAGAGGGCTTTGTGGTGTGTGGTGTGTTTGGCAGCCTGCCGCACCAGTGGTGCCATCGAAGCTGCGGTGTCCATCTGCAGGAGTTGATCGATGCAGCTGTTGACCTGCACACCACACACACACACACGCAAGCAGCCGATGAGCTTTGGATGCACTGCATGGAATGGACGAGTTGGTTGGTGTATTGTTTGGCTGATACCTGAGCCTGCTTCATCCAATAGCCTTCTACCCGGGGCAGCAGCAGCTCCCGCATCACCGCTATCGTCTGCAGAGGAGAATTCGCACGGCAAAAGCCAAGCCACACACAAACATGCCGGCCATGGATCACATCATAAGCTTTGCTTGACGCTTTCTGCTTCATTCACATCACTGGCCCAGGGAGCCTCTCTTCTCTGACCCGAGTGGTGACGCCGTCCATCCTCAAGGTGCATGAATGAATCAAACTGATGCTATAACGGATGCTTCAACAGGCTTCGTCTCCGCCATCGCAGGAGCACCAGAAATGCCCTCCTCTGGGGGAAAAAGAGTGGCGCTTTCTCCTCCTCCGAAGCTCGCACGGTTGAAGACCTCCAGCGTGAAGGTCCTTGGCTGCATGAGGACAACGTCTGTGGGCCTGCCGACACACCGCCTGTATCAAAAAGCCAATTGAGATCTCCGCATTCTGAAGATCCACCGCCCGCTGAGCCATGTCTTCTCGGCCGTCCCGCCTTTTTTGGGATGCCACGCAGACCACGACACTTCTGAAGCGATAGATGCAATATGCAAGACAAGCGGTGCCTCCCACTGCGCGGCTGGCCGTGCCCGCCCTTCAGCCGTGATGCCTTCCTGAACAGCCACACCGACAAAGGCAAGAAGTCCGCCCTCTCCCTCCCCACCTACGCCACACACACCACTGCCACAGGCGGCCATGAGTGCTGCCCATACGATGGCGACTCACCGGGCTCATCCTCGTCTGTCGAACGGGCCGACGAGTACATCCCATCTGACAACGAGGGAGAGGCCACTGGCACCGGCAAGGGCAAGGATGAGGGGCGGCGGGGCAGCAAGGACAGCTGCAGTGACGGCAAGCAGCGGAAGCGTAGCTTGTCGTTCAACTCGTCCAAGCTGCGGACGGGCCACACGTCGCTGTTTGAGAACGCCTTCCAGGCCCGGCTGGACCGGAGGCGCCAGGACAAGTCGGGCTGGGCCAAGATGCGCAAGGCACTCAGCTGCCTCTGGTGCTGCGGAAAGGTAAGTAAGGTGACCAACACCACACACACACACATTCACATAGGATAGGAGGGGCAGGGGCAGGGCAAGGTTGGTGGTGCTTCGTCTTTCATCCCTCATGTCGTGTACGTGTGTCTGCAGGTGGAGGTCCGCATGGACGAGTTTGATCTTCAGGCCATCACGCGCGACAACGTCCTGACCGGCGAGTTTGCGGCCTCGCAGGACAACTTCAAGCGACTCAAGAGGGTCAGCACAGAGAGGGGCAACAGTGGCAGGGGCAACTTGTGATGTCACATGTGTGTTGATCTGATCACAGGTTCGTTGGATCCAGTCCCCCCGCGCCCAGAATCTGTTTACGTGGCTCATCGTCTTCAATGCGGTGTTCATCGGCCTCGAGATCGAGCTCAATCAGAATGCCGACAACTGGCAGGTACGTCGGCGGGGCGGGCTGATCAGATGCATTTGATGCACAGCTTGTGAGATATGTGTGTGTGTGTGGACCAGACTGCGTCGATATTCCTGTCGATCGAGCTGCTGTTCGTGGTGCTTTTCACCATCGAGCAAATCCTGCACCTACAAGCCGAGGGACTCAAATACTTCAGAGTCAGCCACACCCAGACCACATCCATCCATCCATCCATTGTGTTTGTTCATCGGTTTATTCAGGATTTCTTCAACACGATGGACTTCATTCTGGTGGTGCTGTCCATCGTGGAGAACGCCGTGGCGACCCTAGTGGCAGTGGAGAAGACGCGCGCATCCCTCGCTGACGCCTCCACCCCCAATCTCGACTACTTCGAGAGTCTCCTTGGCAACCATGGAAAGAACTCCAAGAGCAAACTGGACACACTCCTCGCTCTTCGGGTGGGTCGGTGGGGTGGGGAGAGCGGGAGAGAAGAGAGCTTGGATGAATGCGTGCTTTGGTGTGGTGTGGTGTGGCAGACGTTGAGGCTCGTGCGGTTGTTGCGTATGCTGCGGATTCTGCGGTCGTACAAGGAGCTGTGGCTGCTGGTGCAGGGGTTAGGCAAGTCGCTCCGGTCGCTCTTCTGGATCAGCGTCTTCCTACTCATGACGCAATGTCAGCACAACACACACCAGGCCATCCATTACCCAGGCTGCCTCCCCTCAAACCACACCCATGATTCCTCTCTGTTTGTGCGGTGTGTGGTGGTGGTGTGGCGGTGCAGACATCTGCGCGACCTTTACAACGCGCCTGTTCGGTCAGATCCACAGCAGCGACGAGCTGATGGACGAGTGGTGGGGGAGCATCCTGCGGTCGGCCTTCACCCTGTTCCAGCTCATGACCATGGAGGGCTGGAACGAGATCGCCAGACACACCATGGATTTCGCTCCTGCAAGCGCCATTTTCTTTGTCGCCTACATTCTCTTCACCAACGTATGCTTGCCTTCACGCCCATCCATCCATCCACCTTTACATCCCATCCGTCCGTCCATGTGTGTGCAGGTGACGCTGCTGAACTTGGTGACCGGTGTGATCGTCGAGGCCGTCAATGACACGAGCAGGCACAACGAGGAGGAGAGCGAGGTGGAGCTGCAGGAGCGGCGGCTGCTCGAGGGCAAGCGCATCCTCAGAGAGGCCTTCCACGCCGCCGACCACGACAACAACCACTGGCTAAGCAAAGAGGAGCTGCTCGAGGCCCTCTCGACACGGCAGTTCCTCGACGACCTCAAGCGCGCGCAGATCTCGTGGCTCGACGCACTGGACCTCGTCAGAATCATGCACGCCAACAACATCGAGGTCGGTCAGTCGCAACACACACACACACCACACACACACACATGGATGGATGGATGGATGCATGAATCACCCACGTGTGCAGGAGCTGCGTGTCGAGGATTTCGTCGAGGGCGTGAACCGCGTCAAGGGCCCCGCCCTCTCGAAGCACCTGCTGATGCTCCAGTTCGACCAGCAGCGGCTCCTCGGCCACCTCTCAGAGGCCCTTCTCTCCGTTCAGAAGCACCTCAACATCCCCCACGCATCCATGAGCGACTCCCAGCGCAGCCAAAGGGACGACGAGGAGACCAACGACGGCGACGAGGCATCCGACAACGGCAAGCAGGGCGGAGATGGGGGTGGTGGTGGTGGTGGTGGTGGGGAAGCGTCTGATGGGCGAGAGGAGAGGATCAACAAGGCTGTGGAGGCGGCGGTGCAGTCGGGCATCACGGCGGCATACGAGGGGGCAGGAGGGACTGAGGGAGGGGGCGGGGGCGGCCTGCTCTTCAGGAGGGCCAGAAGGTGCGCAGACGAACAACGCAACGCACCTTACAGACAGACAGAGACAAACAATCATGTCGCTCATGACATGACAACACCCTCTTGGCTGTTTGTGCCTTGCTTGCCCTGTCCCTCTCTGTCTTTCTCTCTCCTGCAGTAGTGTGGATGTGACCGACAGCTCTCTGCTGTCTCGTCGGCTGCAGAACCTCCCTGCCCTCCCCCCGTCCAGCACCACACTCGTCGACTCATCGCCAGAAGACATGCGACCCCGCACACCAGACCTGCACCCATCGCAGGCAACCAACGGCCGTCCACCCGTCCCCCCACACAGGCGCAGGGGCCCACCCGGGACCACAACCACCAGCAACTCGCTGCAGCCGCCCTCGCCCACCTTTTCCAGAGGCTCACGTGGGTCGCCGTCGAGGCGCGGTGCAGTCGACCCAGAGGCATCCCCGCAGCACTCGGCCGCCACATCGACCGGCCCCCCTCGGCCCCGTCAGCAGATCCAGCGGCAGAGCAGCACCATTCGGGAGCTTTACGCAGCGCCGTTTAGGGGCGGGTATCTTGGCGGGGACATCCCGATGTCGTCATTCTCTGAGCGGGAGCGGGCCAACTCGCTCAACCCGTCAGTGCATCTGTGGAACAGGGAGAGGGAGAGGGAGAGGGCCACTGCGGCTGATGTGCGCAGCAACATCTCTTCCAGCCCGCAGATGGTCTTCCGTCGAGGGTTGGGCGGGGCGTTTATGGCGGCATCGCGGGAGCCGTCAGAGGCGGACAGGTCCACCCACACACACGCCACACACGCCACACACGCCACGGCGCCTGCAAGGCAGTCCTCATGACACACTGACGGGTGAATATGCAGTGCACTCCTTACATAATTGATGGTGTTTGGTGCATTCATGGTGTTTGTTGCACGTGTGATCGCACGGCTGCATCAGATAGGGCTTGTCGATTGGCCGACCATTGACTGTTTTGCGTATCGCAGGAGGCAGGAATGCAGGAATGCAGGCAGGCGGGCAGGAAGTGACGGGCGGACTCGCCATGTCCGCCAACAGACAGACAGGCAGGGAGGTAGGCAGGGAGGCAGCGAGGGAGATGGTACTTTGGTTACCATTCGTTCCTCCGTTTTACATACATGTCGGTGGAAGGTTTAGATACATGTTGGTGAAAGCTCTGCCTCTGTTCCAAATGGCAGCTGGCGGAGGGCATGCAGTGCAGGCATTCAGTGATCGATTGCATCCAGCCATCCCATCCATTCATCTATCTATCGCATTCCTCGTGTGTGTGTGTGTGTGTATTATCGTACCCTTCATGCCATGCATCCATCGTACGTGTGTATACGCCTCTTCGTTTTTCGTCCGTCCAGTGGAGGCCTTTTTTGAGACTCCGCTGCTGGTGTTGATGCTGATGCGATGCTGCCGTGCACATTTTGGTTGCGTGCAGTGCGCAGCGACCGATGCCCTCTCTCGCACGTGGTGTGGTATGGTGTGGTGTGGTGTGGTGCATAACTGTCTGATTCTGTGGCTGTCATGCAAGCGCTTTTGTGTGTGACCTAACCTGCATGACGCCTGCCTACATGACGGTTTTTGTTTGCTGGGGCATTCATTCTCTGTGATGTCGGTATATTGTGCGTGCGTGGCTGGCCGTTTCTGAGGCAGGTAGGTAGGTCGAGCTGTTCTAGCTGCTCCTTTTGTCTGGCATGTGTGAATGAGGTATGGTTGCGTGATGTGACGCGGAACTTCGTGCGTGATGATGTGCCCCACCCATCCGTCCGTCCATCGACAGGTGTTTCCTACATTACATTCTCTCGTGGGTGTGAGGGGACACACAAGGACACGTCAGGGAGGCAGGGAAGCACCATCACCCTTTATAATCAGATCTGTTCACCCCTCATTGACGCAAACGCGCATCATGTCCATGTATGAGTCACTCGACGAATGAAGTGTCCTGTTCGCTCGAGGCAAGCAGGCAGGCAGCACGCAGCCACGGAAACCACACACCACACACCCACTCCCATCCGCCACACCACACCCCCACCGATCAGAACTTGAGTTCGTGGGGCTTCATGTTGTTGGTGAGGGAGAATCTCGTCTTGAGGTACGACTTGAGGACGGCGTCCGCCTTGGCCAGCGCGCCCAGGACGGCGCCATCGACCTTCATCTGGTCGGCCTTCTTCTCGTCGCTGATCTCCACCTTGGCCTCGCCCTTCTCCTCGGCAAAGATGCCGCCCTCACTCTTGGACCCCCCTCCGCGCTTGCCCTTGGGTTTGGCGAAGTAGGTGTCGTCGAACTTGTTGACGTCCACCTTGCCGATGTCCACCTTGGTGCTCGTGGCGATGACGTACCGCTGGTTGACGCGCCGCAGCGGGATGCCGTTCACCGAGTAAGGGCCAGTCACCATCAGCAGGCCGGACGGCAGGTGCTTCAGGAAGACGCAGCGGTGGCCGCGCGCCTTGCCCGCCAGCAGGATCAGGATGGTGCCGGGGGTGATGGAGCTGCGCAGCTTGGGAGGCCTCGCCGTCAGCTTGCGAGGGTTCACCACCGCCCTCTTGGCTTTCAGCTTGATGTTGTCTGCTCGCTTTGTCGCCCCCGCCTTCGCCATTGCGGTGGTGGTCTTGTTGGTGTTCGTTGTGACGCCCAGACCTGGTGCGAGCTTATTGACCTGGGAGCTAAGCTCGCAGGAGATGGATGCCAAAGTTGAGCGTTCTGCTTCTCTGGAGCCTGCTCACTACTGGGATTCACGCCTATAGCTATCCATCAGTCAACACCGTGCATCGCCTGGCTCGAAGGTACACGACAAGCTGTTTGTCCCGTGATTGATCTGATCTGCGTGCTCTGGTGCATTGCAGGCCGTTGTCGCCCGTGCGTATGAGTGTGCTGACGATAGACGGCAGCACACTAGAGGGCGGTGGTCAGATCTTGCGCAACGCCTTCGCTTATGCGGCGCTGCTGAACAAACCGCTGAGAGTGTATGGATCAATAAATGCCATGCAAGCAGACGATGACCGTATATGGATGCTTTGCTTGTGTGCGTCATGTCAGATTCAACATCCGTGCCGGCAGGTCCAAACCGGGGCTGGCGAATCAGCACCTTGAGTCCATCAGGCACGTGACATGGCACGTGGGGCAGGACAGACGACACACACACGACAAACTGACTGACCCACACATCCACCGCCATGATGGGTGTATTGATTGATCAGGCTCTTGTCGCGCATCTCACATGGGAAGCTTGGGGGCGATCAGGTGGGCTCGGTCCAGGTCACATTCTGGCCGAACACCATCGTCGCCGGGAAATATGCCGCTGACCCCGGCACGGCTGGCAGCATCACTCTTATGATACAGGTCGGTGCGCATTTTGTTTGCCTGTCTGCCTGCCTACGTCCCCTGGCTCCTTCCTTGTCTGTGTGTCTACCTGTCGGTCGTCAGGCTGTCATGTGGCCGTGTCTGTGTTTGGGCGCCGAGGTGCAGCTCGACCTCAGGGGCGGCACGGACGTGAGCGTGGAACAGAGAGAGACACACACTCTTCATGTGGGTCTGGGTGGATGCGTGTTGTTGCTTTGTTCGTGTCTGTGTTGTGGGTCGTGTGCAGGTGTCGTTCTCGCCTCCCCTAGACTACCTGACCATTGTGTTGCGCCCTCTGCTCCGCTCATTCGGTGCTGACTTCGATCTCACCCTACACAAGAGAGGCTTCTACCCCAAAGTGAGCAAAACGACACGGACCCACAACACACACACACAGCCAAGCCGACAAATGTCAATCCATCATCAGGGTGGCGGCCACGTGACGGTCAACTTACACCCCCCTCCCACCCGCCCTCTGCAGCCCATCACTCTGCTCAGCAAAGGCACCCTCAGTCAGATTCGCGGCCTGGCCTACACATCGGGGGCGGTGAACCCCAGCAACGCCGACCACATGAAGGCGTCCCTCGTCCAGGCGCTAAAGAAGGGCGACCCGGCTGTGCGGCGGGTTGACATGAGCATCGAGACTGTGCACCTGGACCCTCAGGTGGCCGTGGGCAGCGCCAGCGGGCTGTGGGTGTGTGCCGAGACCACCGAGGGCTGCAGATACTTCGCTAATGCAGAGGGAAAGAAGGACGTGCAACCCAGGTGAGATGAGCTGAGGGATGCATGGGCCGCGTACCGTGATCTAGGTACACATGTGTGTGTATCTATGTGTGTGTGTGCAGTGAGACTGCCCGTCAGGTCGCCGCTTCACTGATCGACCAACTCAGCCAGAATGGATGCGTCGACGAACACACACAGGTAAGAAGCGGAACGGCACACAAGCGGTAAAAAGATAAAGGCCACGTATCCATTGTGTGTGCAGGACCAGCTGATCATGCCGATGTCGCTGGCCCTCGGCACGTCCCGCATTCTGTGTGGCCCGCTGACCCTCCACACGCGGACGGCCATGTGGGTCGCCGAGACGCTCACCGACGCCAAGTTCAAGATCACAGAGAGCCCCACTGTGGACGGCGTTGGCCGGGTGGAGGGGGCGGTGCTGCTCGAGTGTGAGGGCATTGGTTGGGGAGCGGAGCGGGAATGATCTCACAGGCCATCACGTGATCGCTGTGTTGTGGCTGCCGTTTGTCTGTTTATACACTCATGGTGCATGCTGCACATGGGCGTCTCTGCCCGTGTGCGCCATCTTTATCTGTTGTTGGGACGAGGGGTGTCAGTCAGCATGCTGGATGTCCTGGCTCGTCTGCGTGTACGGTTGTTGGTTTGGCGCATTTGTTGCTTCGAGGCGCTGGTGGCCATCCTAGCGCTTAGAAACCGCAGATTCGGCAGAGTGGCGACCGTTTATTGTAAAGATATATAATGGCATGCCCCATTTCGTTCAGGAGAGCCGCTGTAAGAAGAACCTGTTCCAATTTGAAATACTCATTTCACGCAAACGGGAGTCTGCGGACGAGAGTCTCTAACGCTCACGCGTTTCTGGAGGCGGGGAAAGCTAGCTAGGCCCACAGAAGGCTAGCTAAGCCCGCGGAAAGCCAGCCAGCCACCCGGAAAGCTGGCCAGACCACCCGGAAAGCCAGCTTTCCAGGCCTCCCTGCCAGCTTTCCAGCCAGAAAGCTGGATGTCCAGCCGGAAAGCTGGCCAGACCACCCGGAAAGCTGGCCTTCCGCGCCTCCCTGCCAGCTTTCCAGCCGGAAAGCTGGTTTTCCCGACCTCCCTGTCAGCTTGCCAGCCGGAAAGCTGGCTTTCCCGACCTCCCTGTCAGCTTGCCAGCCGGAAAGCTGGCTTTCCCGACCTACCTGTCAGCTTGCCAGCCGGAAAGCTGGCTTTCCCGACCTCCCTGTCAGCTTGCCAGCCGGAAAGCTGGCCTTCCAGGCCTCCCTGTCAGCTTGCCAGCCGGAAAGCTGGCTGTCCCGCCCTCCTGGTGCTCAGAGGGCGGAAAGC